TTGGACTCAGGGACGATAAATGGCTTGTACCTGTACTCGATCTCGAGACTTTCGTGTTCGCAGTCTAACTCTCTTCCGCTAGGCCACGCCATCCCAAACTCACATCGTACTCCTGATATTCAAGCAAAACTTAAACTGTCCATAAATCCAGTGTTTCTTCCAGACTTTTTTTCTCAACTTGAAATTTTAGGGGGGGGGGGGGGCGGACACTGTTAAATGTATATATTTTCTATATAAATTCCATTTTGTCTGGGGGGGGGGGGGTGGTAGACTTTCTGGAAGATGCCTGGAAGAAACTCTGCTTAAATCACATGCCTCTAGCATAATCTACTTTTAGTCCAGTCCAGTCACAGTACTCTTCAACACTACATTTACAAATACAATCCCTCACAGCAGAGGCGTAGCTACCTCTCCCTGCGCCCGGGGACGAACTTTCATTTTGGCGCCCTCCCCCCCCCCCCATATATTTTTAATATTTATAATTGAAATTAGCAGCTAAAATGAGCTTATTTTGGCGCCCCTAGGGACGGCGCCCAGGGACATAAGTACCCCCCGTCGCTACGCCTCTGCCTAACAGTAAATCGTCCCACAACGACCTCTGTCTCTGTGAGATATCTTTAAGAGTTTCGGCAACCTACATCTGTCAAGTAAGATTTCGGTAACTTACACCTGTCTAACACCCGTGACGTAGCTAGATGACGTGGGTGGAGACACCAGTTGAGTTCGAATCGGTCGGAATGTATATGAATTATTTTGAAGGACTAAAACCTCAACTCCTACCACCCCCACCCCCTCATCGCTTCACTTGTTGTAGTGCTAAGCCTCTATTCCAGGTGCCTGCAGTAATTGCTGTTTAGACCATGGTCTACAATACTGCGGCCCTCTTTACACTTACTCTACGACACCCAATATGGCAGAGGTTACGCTTGAGTAAATCCCTGACACTGGGTGCACTTATTCTTGATCGAGAGTTTAAAATTTTCCGGTTTAAACCGGAAAATAGATCTAGAGTAGAAAAAAAAAATAGTTTTGCCTTGTGGTACGGATTCAATTTGGTCGTATCAACCGCCATTGAAATTAATTGAATTATTATTAATCTATCTCAACTCCGTTAATGCCGTCTATGCTTTTTTTGTTTTTGTTTTTATGAACGTGTTTTCTAAAATGTATTATGTATATGCTTAGAGAGTCAGCCAAATTATGTTTGTAAAATGTGTTAGCGGGGGTGTAGAGTGGAAGATCTATGGTCACAATTTATGGTTCTCGAACTTTCCATTAGTCCGGGGATGATGGTTTCGTGGTGAACTTTTGATAAGCACAGAAGATTTGTTTTTTTTTCAGATATTTTATCCAGATATGTGAGAGTGGGGGTGGTGGTGGTGGGGGGGGGGGGGGCGTGGAACTTAAAGCTATTAGGGGAAGTCAATTTTTTAGGGAGGGTAACAAACACTATTAAAAGTATTTATATATTATATATATATATATATATATATATATATATATATATATATATATATATATATATATATATATATATATATATATATATATATATATATATATATATATATATATATATATATGTATATATATATATATAATTCTCTTCTGGGAGACGTTAGAAAACAAGCTGCAAGCGCGCCTTGCAGTCCCCTCTCTTCCTCTCTATCACTATCACTATCACTACCACCCCCACCCCACCCCCACATGGTCTGGTGAGCTGTGGCTCACGCTAAATGTTTACAAATCGTAAAGCCGGGTTTAGTGACGGCTATTATGGGCAGAGAATTTAGTTTGAAACGATTTTAAACTTACAGAGGGTAACTAAGAAGAGGCTGCTTTTACGGGGGAGGGGGTAGGGTAGGGGTTGGGGGAAAGAGGGGGGGGGCGTAGTTTCTTAAAGCAAATATTTTCAGTGGCAGCATTGGTACTGTCGAATTAAAAAATTATGAATTACTGAACAGTAGAAAATAAGACAATTAAATGGCGGCGTATGATACGCCGCGGGTCGGCTCGTACATTATATTACATTTGATATACATTCCATATACATTATATTTATATTCTATATACATTATATTTATATTCTATATACATTATATTTATATTCTATATACATTATATTTTGTTCGGGCGGGACAAAGGGGTGGGGAAAGGCGGAGAGGTGGTGTGGACGTGCCCCGGGGGAAAATTTGTTCTCTGAAGAGATACCCGAAAGAAACTCTAAACATAAGTTACTTTAGAACTTTATCGATTAGTAATCCCCGACTACACAAGAATATACCCTATTCAATAGAGGTTGTCAGTAAACGACGTACCGTTCTGGAATATAGAGGTAGCTTGGAATTTGGTATTGTGTGAGGCAAGTGGGAGCAGGATTTCCAGAATGTAGTACAGCATGATATGTACTTTTTATAATGCTACAAACTAAATGGTAATGTGTAGGAGAAGTGGATGAATATACTCCAGGAAGGCCCAGCTCAGTATATTATAGTATTAGAAAAAAAATTGACTCATATTAACGGGATGGTGTAAATCTGCTGACCACAGTGCCCACGAACATTCGTTTTTGTAACTTCAGCTTCAACATTTTTTTTTATAACAACGAAACAGTTTGTAAACTCTAAACCAGGGGTTCTCAGCCTTTTTTTACTCTAGAGCACATTCTAAAATATCAGTAGGGTGGCGGGCACCACCTATTTTAAATCGACAAACTCCTTCCAGAGGCGTAGCGACCCTTCCCGTCACCCGGGGACAAAACTTTCGATTTGCAACCCCCCCCCCCCAAACTTTCGATTTCCATCCCCTTCAACCTTTCAATAATGTGTATGAAATAAATTCTGTCTCTGTCGAATAGTGAGAGGCGGGCACACACGAATCGTTTGGCGGGCGCCATGGCGCCCGCGGGCACTGGGTTGGGAACCCCTGCTCTAAACTATAAAATGTTTGTTAGATTGGCATACTTAATAAACGTGTATCAGTCTAGCAATTTTTTAAGCTAGTTTTGATACATTTAATAATTTGTGTAATAAGGATAGCATTTGTTGTTTAATTTGTCCCTAAACACTCTAGGAAAAATGCACAATATTCAATTTTAATTTGTTAATGGACAAACTTTAACAACCTAATCAATCTTCTCCCACACAACAAGGTTTGCATAATGTAGGGTCGTTTCAGTTTGTGTTTTCATGTCTTTTCACGGGCGTTTAAACTGGATACACTGAAGCCAAATCTCTTTCTTGCCGCGTGATGTGCTTGGTTGAATTTAACAGCAGGACACCTACGTTCACGGTCGCCCACACCGTCACGGTGGCTGTTGTGTTGTGTGGACAAATATCGTTGAACAAAGAGGTGTGTTTTTATTACAGGGGTATTTTGTATGGATGGACGATTACGTACGAATGTGAAATCTGAACTCTTTGAAACTTCTGGCATTCCTTTGATTAATTAGAGTGGGTTGGGAAACTTAGCGTTTAAACATTACTTAAACATCTGATTTTATATATATATATATATATATATATATATATATATATATATATATATATATATATATAAGTTACAGTTAAATTCACTGGTACATTAATTTACAACCATTAACTGAAATTGTAGCATTTACTAAAGAAAGCCTAGCTAAAGAGAAGCTCTAATATGACGCTAAAGATTAAACTCATGTTAAAGCTCATTTTGCTCCAGCTAAAATATTAAAATAGAAAAGACCACTAAGCTCCCACCGTGTCGCACAAAGTTTACTGTTTGGCGGAAAATTTAGCTCCCACATTTCTGTTAAATATCAATTTTTAATTGTAAGTACTCGCTACGCATTAATCCCCTAGCAGTTCAAGAAATTAGCTCCTTACATTAAGCTTACGAATTAAATTCAGATCCCACCACAAATTAAGCTAATCCCACACATTTATGTAGCTTATAAATTTAATAAGCATTCCCTTCGCTCGTTCCAATGAAAGAATAAATTAACACTGTCATTCACGCACCTTTGCACACACTAGTTGCACTAAAAATAAAGTTGTCCATACAATGTGTGTAGGAGTGAGATCTCTTTATCCTATAACTTTTGTATTGCATGTTTAACTTATTTAAAATTGTTCCAGGCACTCCTCTGGGTTTTAACAACGTGTGGGTTTAAACAAATGCGATTGGCCGTTGATTTAAAAGTAATGTATATAAAGGACTACATGCGCTGCTCTAGTATTATCCGGCTGTTTTATCGCTAATAATATTTGGTTAGTATTAGTACTATCAACTGTTGTCTTTTAGAAATGTATTAGATAGTTTCAAAAGTATTTACATTTTTGTTTTTATAACTAGTATTTTAAAGTTGAAATTTTATAATTCAAAATATGTAAGACATTCAATTTGAATTAAACAAAACAATACTTTTTTAAAGAAGTTTACTTCTTTTTATAACAGATTTTTTAAAAGTTTACATTTGTTAAACTTACTGTCTTAGAATATGACATTTTACCACAAAAAAAACCACAATCAATTTTTTTTCTTAACAATTAGATAAGAAACTGACTTTGCATTTTTTAATTGATTTTTTCTTATCTTAGTTAAAAAAAATTGTAATTTATTTTTAAAGTTATTGATTTTATTCCACCTAAAATTCCTGCAACCAAACCATCTCTTTAGTGTCGTGTTAGCCATTTTGTGCTGAGAAATTTTGTCTCAGCCGCCTGCGTGTGTTTTGAGTAACGATATATTTTATTTATTTTATTTATTTTAAAAATGAAAAATTGTTTATTTCCAACTTATTGAACCATTATGGTTTGGCTATCATTTTAGTTTTGTTTGCCTCCTTTGCCTTTATAAGAATACTGCATATTTGCATTAATTCTTATTTGTAGTACTTTAATAATTATAGTTTCGCAAATGGATAGGCCTACTTTGTGAGACTAGTTATTCAATAGATTGTTAAGAGAGACTATAGAATAGAAATAATTTTAAAAAATTCAAATCCTTTGCAGAAAACAGGAATCATGAATACATTAGCTGCTCTTGTTTTGCTCTTCACTATATCATATGCTCAGGGTAAGTGCCTACATCACCAACATCATTATAAGAAATGTTTCAGAAGGGTTCTATTCCATCGTGGGAACTGGCCCCTACCTAAAGTAATGTATGAAAACATATTATATGTACATATTTGTGCGTTTTATACCATTTTTAAATTATTTATACACGCACACCCACATCCACACGCACACAAACACACACGCATATATATATATATATATATATATATATATATATATATATATATATATATATATATTGTGACCTACTTAGGTCCAGTAATGTTTTATTTTGACATTGTATAATACCTTATATGGATTGATGGTGCAACCACCGGGTTTTTTCCACTGTCTTATTAAGGGTGTCTAAGACTAAGAAATTTTCCATCAAGATCTGATTGATTGATTCAGATCAGATAACCACCCCATAGCTCAGTGGCTAGGATCTCGGCGCGCCACGGCGGCGGCCGAGGTTCGAATACTCGGTGAAAAGCTGAGTATAGTCTATGGTGTCTAGTGGTTTAGTGGCTTAGATTCCTCGGTTCGGAGCCGAGTAGGGTGTCACTGTTACGCAGTGACCTGGATCGCTAGATCTCAGTACCCTCAGTACCCTCAGGTTGGCCCGTGTGGCCTGGATCGCTAGATCCCTGGATCACGCTCGCCCAAGGTGGCGTAGATCCCATTATTCTCTCACAGATGGCAGTAGACCTTGATCAGGCAGTCTACCTTGATCAAACGGTCTATTAAGACCAGGCCGTCCATTTTGTCCGGCAAAAGATTCTGACCATTTGAACGTGAGAGAACTTAAGTCCTGAGTGTGCTATGCTTTCTTAAGTTGGTTTAGTCTTCTAGTATAATATTACTTGTCGCCAAGTGATTATTGAAGCTATAGCAGTGTTGTGTGACCTGTGGCTATTTTTATACAGTGTTAAAATCTGTGATAGTATTTTTTCTTACGCTTTGTAAGTTGGGTTTTGTTATTTTCTAAATTAAATATTTTATCTCGTTTAACCTAGTGTTCTGCCACAACTGTGTTCGCTTATTAAAGGTTGTATGCAGATTGAATTAGTTGTTAACTTCAATAGTATCACTAGTTTTCCCTAGACATCGAAACCGAGCCCTAGTGTGTTGTTGAGTTAGTGTTCATTCCTTTAGGCTGTAAGTCATTTGCATATAACCCCGAAAAAAGAATCCGGGGACGTTCACCATCTATCTGGCTGGTAGATAGGTAAACGTTACAAAGTGGGGTCTCGCCGAGATTTAATCTGTCGTTCCAGTTGTTGGTTATATCAGTTAAACACTAAGTTTAGTTTGATTTAGTTGTTTTTCTATCCAGTGAAGCCGTGTTATTGAAACGCGCGCAAGGCTAGTGCTATCTAGGTCAAAAGCCAGACGTGTCACGATAGGAGGTCAAGTACACGGCCCAACGCTCCGTGTTAATTTAGAGAATCTAGGCTTGTTTTGATTTTGAAAGTTAGTGTTATGGAGTCTTTCTTATCTAATCCCACTTTTGAGGAGGTAGAGAAGTTGAGTAGAAAAGTTTTGATTAGTGTTGTTAAGGAATTGAAATTGGATTATTCTGTTACGCAGAAGTCAGAGGTGTTGAGAGATAAAATTGTTGTTCATTTTATTAATGAAGGGGTATTTGATGAAAGTTTGTTAGCTGGTGTGTTACTCCGCGAGGAGAAACCTCTAGAGAAGGTAGAATTAGAAGCTAGAATTGCTTTAGAGAAGGAGAAAGTTGCTTTAGAGAAGGAGAAACTTGCTTTAGAGAAACAGGAGTTAGAGGCTAAAATTGCTTTAGATAAGAGGAGGTTGGAATTAGAATTTGGTAAAGTTAGTGAAGTCACTTCTCTGGTAGATCCAAAAAAGTTGTCGGTGGGGCAAGTGATTGCCAAATTTGGGAAATTAGTTCCTAAATTTGATGAAACAGATTTGGTCGTTTTCTTTAACTCATTTGAGAGTTTAGCGAAGACATGTGAATGGCCCGAAACTTCCATTACTGCTTTATTGAGCTCGGTCCTTACAGGGAAAGCTGCAAAAACATACCAGGCACTCTCTCACGACGTTCAAAATAACTATAGTTTGGTCAAGACTGCCATTTTGAAGGCCTACGAACTGACGCCCGAGGCCTATCGGATGAAATTCCGAGCACTCCGCAAGTTACCCACTCAATCATATGTGGAATTTCTCTTTGAAAAGGAGAAAATATTCTCAAGGTGGCTACACTCTGAGGAAGTTTCTGAGTTTGAGAAACTCAGGTCACTTATCCTAAGGGAAGAATTCCTAACGTCCCTGCCTGAAGACATACGACTTAACATACTGGATAACAAGATAATTGACATCCAGAAGGCTGCTGAGTCGGCTGACACATATATGTTGGTGCATAAGAAACCACCAGTGTCAGGAAACCGCCTCAACCCCGTGCTTCCCCTTTTTGGCAGCAATCCTCCTGTTGGCCAACACGTGAAGGCATTACAGTCCAGAGAGAAATCAAGATCAACTCTCAATCGTCGAGCAGTATGCCAGTTCTGCAAAAGACCTGGTCATCTTGTCAAGGACTGTTACAAACGTCGTCAATATAACAGAGAGGTGGTGCGTACTTCTGCGCACCATGCTCTATCCCCTCAAGCAGCCAGTTCAACTATGAACTCTAGAATTCTAAAGGACTCTAACCATAAGTGTCCGCAAGAAGGTAGTCAAGTCTCCACACATTATGTGCAGTCACATTTTGACTGTTCACGCCACCATCCAGTTTCTTCCGAGTCTACCGATCTCGAGGGATCGAGAAAAGTTGACTTTTCATCTTTCATTGCCGAAGCTCTCATTAGCAAACCATATGATCCGTTGTCTCAGAAGAATATCACCGTCCTAAGAGACACAGGAGCGTCACAATCACTTCTTTTGAAAAGTTCAATGGACATTACACCAGAGACGAACACCGGAAATATTTCCATTATCCAGGGAGTGGGGACAAAATCTACTGTCGTCCCTCTACACAAGTTTGCCCTGAAACATCATCTCGTCGAAGGTGAGGTCATTTTAGGTGTGATAGATAGTATTCCTGTCCCATGAGTACACCTACTTCTAGGGAATGACCTTGCGGGAAGCAAAGTATACCCCTGTACGGTTTCAGACCCTTTGTCAACAGTTCCAGATAATGATAATGAACTGTATCCTGCATGTGCGGTGACAAGAAGCCAGACCAAACGATTGGCTGACACAACGTCTGAACCACACCTACCATCATCGTCAAGAAATTCGACTCCCAAACTGGAGTCTATGCTTCCAGAGAACACAAGCCTGGGCTTACCCCTGAGGATATCTCAGGAAGACATCATTAAAGCTCAACAAGTCGACGCGGAACTCAAGGCAATGGTCGAAAAATCTCTATCATCTGACGATGGGGAATATTTCTCCGAGAACGGCCTCTTCTTTCGTCGCTCTATACCAGTGAATGCCTCACCAGCCGAACCATGGTTGGGTAAAAACCAGCTGTGGGTCCCTCCACCTTATCGGCATGAAATACTGAAACTGGCACATGACCATCCAATGTCAGCGCACCCAGGAGTCACTAAAACGACGGCGAAGATCAAAGAACTGTTCTTTTGGCCCAAAATGAGAAATGATGTGTTACTGCAAAAGTTGCACGAACTGTCAGTTGGCCGGAAAACCAAACCAGAAAATTCCTAAGGCCCCTTTGAGTCCGATTCCTGTATTAGAAGAACCCTTTTCTAAAATCGTCATGGACTGTGTAGGTCCCTTGCCTAAAACCAAGGCGGGCAACGAGTACCTACTTACCTTTATGTGTTCAAGTACCCGTTTTCCCGAGGCGTTCCCCTTACGGAACATTAAGGCAAAGACTGTAGTCAGAGCCATGACCCGGTTCTTCACTACCTTTGGATTACCTAGAATCGTGCAAACAGATCAAGGCAGCAACTTCACCAGTCACCATTTTCAGGAAGCACTAGCCAAGCTAGGCGTTACCCACATCACCAGCTCAGCCTACCACCCTCAGTCTCAAGGCGTACTTGAGAGGTTCCACCAAACCCTCAAAACCATGCTAAGAACATTCGCTAAAAGTAACACCCAATGGGATGAGTCTGTTCCTTGGATTATTTTCGCCGCGAGGGACTGTGTCCAGGACTCTTTAGGCTACTCTCCTTTTCAACTTGTGTTTGGACATTCTGTCCGTGGTCCCCTGAAGCTGATCCACGAACGTTGGACAGGTACCAGTGATCATCCAGTGGAAAACTTTGACGATTTTCACGTTCGACTGAAAGCCGTGTGCGAAATGGCTCACAAGAACTTAAGAAAGGCCCAAGTTAGAATGAAAGGACTGTATGATAAGAGTTCTCGTAAACGAACATTCAATCCAGGCGAGAAAGTTCTTGTGCTAGTGCCTAATCTGAACAATGCGTTATCCTTAAGATATTGTGGACCCTTTACTGTGCATTCAAAATTAAGTGATTTGAACTATGTTGTCAATACGCCCGACAGAAGAAAGAAACAGACAGTGTATCATGTTAACTCACTGAAAAAGTATTATGATAATTGTAACAATTTTCATTCCACAGCTAAAATTACTTTACCTGTATGTTCAAATGTTTCTGATGATGTGATACATGATAAATTGAAACCCCCAAAATTGGTAAATTCTTCCTTTTTAGATCATCTAAATGACCACCTTATGCATTTGTCCACAGAGGAAAGCCATAAATTGTCTCAGTTTTTTGAGACATTTCCCTCTATTTTTGGGGATGTCCCCAAAGAAGCGAAGGTACCACCTCATGATGTAGACGTAGGTGACGCAAAACCCATCAAACAACACCCCTATAGAGTTAACCCGGAAAAAGCTGTTTTGATAAAAGATGAAATTGATTATATGCTCAAGAATGATATCATTGAGCCCAGTTTCAGCAACTGGAGTTCCCCATGTCTCCTAGTCCCGAAAGACGGTGGATCTTTCAGGTTTGTGACCGACTTTAGGAAGGTAAATGCGCTCACCAAAGCTGATTCCTATCCTTTACCTCGAATAGAAGACGTTATTGATAAAGTTGGTCAGGCTAAGATAATTTCCAAAATTGATTTACTTTCAGGATACTGGCAAATCCCCTTATCTGACCGTGCAAAAGAAATATCTGCTTTTGTAACCCCTAATGGTTTTTATAGATACAAACGTATGCCCTTTGGTATGCGAAATGCTGGTCAAACTTTCGAGAGGGTCATTAACTCTGTCATTGCTGACATAGACCAATGTGAGGCCTACATAGATGATATAGTTGTATTTTCCAATACTTTTGAAGAACATATTGTGCAGTTGACTAACCTTTTTAGAAAATTGTCTGAGGTGAATTTTACTGTAAACTTGCATAAAAGTGATTTCTGTAAAGGTTCAATTACCTATTTGGGTTATCAAGTGGGAACGAACCAAGTTCGGCCCATTGAAGCTAAAGTAGATGCTATTGTAAGGTTACCTCCTCCCAAAAATTGTAAAGAAATCAAAAAGTTCCTTGGGATGGCTGGTTATTATAGGCGGTTCTGTCAAAACTTTCAGCTATTGCTGAACCTCTTACTGCATTATTGAAAAAGGGTGTTGAGTTTGAATGGTCAAATAAATGTCAAGAAGCTTTTTTAACCATTAAGTCATTTTTATCTAATGCTCCTGTTATGGCTGCACCAGATTTCAGCAAGCCCTTTAAACTTGCCATTGATGCTAGCAACTTAGCCATTGGCTCAGTCCTATTTCAAGAAGACAACATGGGGATTGACCATCCCATTGCCTTTTTTTCCAGGAAGTTAAATGAGAACCAAAAGAATTACTCTACTATTGAAAAAGAAGCTTTAGCTTTGGTTTTGTCCTTACAACATTTTGAAGTCTATGTCTCTTCTTCAACCAATCCAGTCAGAGTGTTTTCTGACCATGATCCCCTGAAATTTACCTCTAAGTTAGGACATACAAATCAAAGAATATTGAGATGGTGTTTATATTTCCAAAATTTTAATCTGGAAATTTCACACATTAAGGGTAGTGATAATGTTGTGGCTGATTGTTTGTCAAGGATGTAAAATCTTATTACACACATTGATCATGTGACATGTTTTGTGGTTCATTAGGACCATACACAAGTGTTTTGTTTGGGTGACACCCACATGAATGTGAGTGGTATGAGTTTTGAATTTATTCAAAATGGCAATCATGTTGAATATTTTGTTTATTTGTAGGTGAACCTTAATTAAAGGTGGTTTTTGATTATATGTAATCTTTTATGATAATATGTCTCATATGACTCAGTTGATATTGTAGCTAGTCATTGAAATAAAGGTCTTACCCTGGCGGGTTTACCACTTTAAATATCCACATGGAAATATTGTAATACCCTTTTTTGAGGGATTTTGATGTATAATTATTTCTTGAAGGGTTACTCCCCTTTCACCAATTGTAAAAGTTTGAGTTACTTACCTTTTATGTTCTGGGATATTTACTCTGGTATTAAGATTTTGATTGCCTACATTTGTAAGACATTTTTTCATTTTCATTGCCAGATTGGTTCATTATGTATGTTTTTGTGGAACCTATCTGTCACTTCCAAAGAGGGAGGGGATGTGACCTACTTAGGTCCAGTAATGTTTTATTTTGACATTGTATAATACCTTATATGGATTGATGGTGCAACCATCGGGTTTTTTCCACTGTCTTATTAAGGGTGTCTAAGACTAAGAAATTTTCCATCAAGATCTGATTGATTGATTCAGATCAGATAACCACCCCATAGCTCAGTGGCTAGGATCTCGGCGCGCCACGGCGGCGGCCGAGGTTCGAATACTCGGTGAAAAGCTGAGTATAGTCTATGGTGTCTAGTGGTTTAGTGGCTTAGATTCCTCGGTTCGGAGCCGAGTAGGGTATCACTGTCATTGAAATAAAGGTCTTACCCTGGCGGGTTTACCACTTTTAATATCCACATGGAAATATTGTAATACCCTTTTTTGAGGGATTTTGATGTATAATTATTTCTTGAAGGGTTACTCCCCTTTCACCAATTGTAAAAGTTTGAGTTACTTACCTTTTATGTTCAGGGATATTTACTCTGGTATTAAGATTTTGATTGCCTACATTTGTAAGACATTTTTTTATTTTCATTGCCAGATTGGTTCCTTATGTATGTTTTTGTGGAACCTATCTGTCACTTCCAAAAAGGGAGGGGATGTGACCTACTTAGGTCCAGTAATGTTTTATTTTGACATTGTATAATACCTTATATGGATTGATGGTGCAACCACCGGGTTTTTTCCACTGTCTTATTAAGGGTGTCTAAGACTAAGAAATTTTCCATCAAGATCTGATTGATTGATTCAGATCAGATAACCACCCCATAGCTCAGTGGCTAGGATCTCGGCGCGCCACGGCGGCGGCCGAGGTTCGAATACTCGGTGAAAAGCTGAGTATAGTCTATGGTGTCTAGTGGTTTAGTGGCTTAGATTCCTCGGTTCGGAGCCGAGTAGGGTATCACTGTTACACAGTGACCTGGATCGCTAGTGACCTGGATCGCTAGATCTCAGTACCCTCAGTACCCTCAGGTTGGCCCGTGTGGCCTGGATCGCTAGATCCCTGGATCACGCTCGCCCAAGGTGGCGTAGATCCCATTATTCTCTCACAGATGGCAGTAGACCTTGATCAGGCAGTCTACCTTGATCAAACGGTCTATTAAGACCAGGCCGTCCATTTTGTCCGGCAATAGATTCTGACCATTTGAACGTGAGAGAACTTAAGTCCTGAGTGTGCTATGCTTTCTTAAGTTGGTTTAGTCTTCTAGTATAATATTACTTGTCGCCAAGTGATTATTGAAGCTATAGCAGTGTGATATCTGTGATAGTATTTTTTCTTACGCTTTGTAAGTTGGGTTTTGTTATTTTCTAAATTAAATATTTTATCTCGTTTAACCTAGTGTTCTGCCACAACTGTGTTCGCTTATTAAAGGTTGTATGCAGATTGAATGAGTTGTTAACTTCAATAGTATCACTAGTTTTCCCTAGACATCGAAACCGAGCCCTAGTGTGTTGTTGAGTTAGTGTTCATTCCTTTAGGCTGTAAGTCATTTGCATATAACCCCGAAAAAAGAATCCGGGGACGTTCACCATCTATCTGGCTGGTAGATAGGTAAACGTTACTATATATATATATATATATATATATATATATATATATATATATATATATATATATATATATATATATATATATATATATACATACATATATAAGATAAATTATTAAAAAAAGAACACTTACAACATATTGGTAGAGCGGTAGACTTGTAACCTAAAAGTCTCGAGTTTGATTCCAGATTGTGTATTTTTACTGTTTCTGTAACAAATGAGAAAATCTTTAACTTTCCAGACTGTGGCCCTGGCTGGGTACTACGTGCTGGCACCAACTTTTGCTACCGTTTTGAAACCTCTACTTTTAAAAACTGGACTAATGCCAGGGACGCCTGCGTTTCTTTTGGAGGGAATTTAATTACCATATCAAGCGCCGAAGAGCAAGCATACTTAACAGGTATAAGAACTCTCGTTTAAAAAAAAATAGTATATATTTCAACAAAATGAAGCTCGTTCAAAGGAGTATCTAACGTAGATAAAATCTTACGTTTAAAATCGTTAATTAGGCTTTTTTATGCATAATAATTCATTTTAAAAATTATAATTATAACGTCTTTAATACGTTATATACGTTTCACGTAAGGTAGGTACGAAAATTTAGATAATGTGTTTTAAAAATAAGTTTTATATATATATTTTTTACACTTTTATGTGAGTGACATAGTTGGAAAACTTGCTTGACTTTTGATTCTAGCTTATTTCTTCTCATTACATCAAATTACATAATGGGCCCCTGAGTTCGAAACCTTTGGGCAGAAGAAGTTCGATAGCTGGCAACTAAAAACCATATAGGAGTGAAAAACTCGAAAATTAAACAACTGCTGCCTTGTAGATTGTCTTGGATGGACTAGAGCTTTGGAAGCAAATCGAAAACAAAAAGCAGGCTGAAATCAGAGTCAAGGGCCTATAACTAGTGCCCCCCCTTCCCCCCCCCCCCCCCCCAAGAGATGGCTAGAAGAAACTCTGGATGAGTCCACCTAGCTCTGATGTGTACCAAATTAATGGCAAGGAAATAAATAGAGACTGGGGATAGTGCTGACCACATTTTATGTTTATATTCCGATGTCGCAGAAGTCTTCAGCTTATTAGCCCTATGAACCGTCATGTTGGAAAGGAACTTTACCTTTCTCCTTATCATAAACTTAATGTATCTTTACATTTTTTTTTAAACTTAAGGCCAATTAAGTAACTTTACACGGGAGATCTGGATTGGTTTGAGTGATGACCTAAGAGAAGGAGCCTGGCGATGGGCGGACAGGTCCTGTGTGACCTACACCAACTGGAATCCACGTAAGACAAAAATTATGGAAAAACTATTTCAGATAAAATATTTAAATTAATCAATTAATTTAACCTCTAACACAAACACATGTAGCTCGAAATTAGGATTTATTTTATTGATTTATTTAGAAAAAAAGGATAGACATAAAAGCATACTCTATTCAACAAAATAGTTAATTATATTTATACCATTAATGGGATAATGTGTAAAATTGTTTTTGGATATTCTGGCTCACAATAAGACTTTAAGTTCTGATGAGTTAAAAAAAAATCAATTTTAAATGGGTTGTGAAATATGTATCAACAGTCTCTAGTGAGCCCAACTATTGGAATATGGGCAGTGATTGTGCCACCATGCTGCCCTATGCCCTGTACGGACATAAATGGAACGACGACAGGTGCTACAACGAATATCCGTTTATCTGCCGTAAAAGACTAGGTAACTGTATATGTTTTATAGTACAATTTCAATGTATCTTTTAAAATTAAACAAAATAATTTGTTTTAAATTTTCTTAGATGATTTTTAATCTTATATATGCGTTATATATATATATATATATATATATATATATATATATATATATATATATATATATATATATATATATATATATATATATATATATATATATATATATATATATATAGGCCCATTTATTTATTTATTTATGTATAATTTCTAACAAATTTTCTACTCTCTAAAATCGTATTGTCTAGTTCAAGCACAAGCTATTACAAATCTGGTAAATATTTTTTATTCTTCTTGAAAATAGGCAAACAATCCATTTCCTTAAATATAGTGATAGCAAACTTAAATGTTTATCAATAGAGCAAACGTGCTTGTAGTTAAATCAAAAGTTCAACTCGGTGTTTTGTAAATGCACTTCTCAGTTTTAGCCTAATTTAAAAGTTGTAATTCTGGTATTATCCCCTAAAACAAATACAAATTAAAGATTCAATTTTTTTATAGGTCTATATTCACAATATAAAATAATCAATATGACAGTCGGTAGTATTAACTGTCAAAGCTAAAATGTCTCTTTTTTTCTTTTGAATGGTATATGAACATATTATTTGATATTATAGCCCGATTTATTTCTAGTAAATATGTGCATAAAATAAACACAACCAGGGGATTAATCATTCTCTTTAAAAATAAACCGCGAGTGATCTCCCATAAACCTTCTCAAATATTCTTATATAAAACAACAGGGGATGGGAACTCGGGATATAGTTTGATTTTTAATCCATTTTTAAATACTTAAACTTTTAAAAATAGAATAGAATCTCATACAAAAAAAAATCGCGCACCAAGCAAACTCCGAATAAAGATGTGTATAATAGTGCGGAATTTTATTAGTACTTTATAAATTTACATGCGTTTTTTGAGAAATCGGAAATAGTGAAAATTACTACTTCCGGTCAACGGATATTACTCAACATTTGATAGAAGGCGGAAAATTAGATATATTAGTTACACGTGAAATTTCTTTTATCTATCTGAAATAGTACTCAAGTTATAGGCTTTTGAAAAATTCAAAGTAGAAATAGTTCCACTTACCGTTATCGGAAATCGCTCAAAAGTTGATACCGATCAACGATTTTGATATAATACTAACATATGAAATTTCATCAACCTAGCTGTAACGATACTCAAGTTATCGTGTTTATACACAGACACATACACACACAGACGTACGGACAAGATTGCAAAACTATGTTTTTCCGACTCAAGGAGGTGTGAAACGTCGAGATTTGTAAAAATCTCGATTTTTTTTGCACGATTACATGTGTGTAATAATGATTGATTAGTGATTTCTAGTCGTGGAGATTGTATTTTATTTTGTATGATTTTCTCTAAAGGATTGTGACGCCGCTTGCAAAGTAAATTACCCCTCCACATGTGAGGGATACATGTATGAAAACTCCACATGCACATTTAAAGTTAGAGTGATTGAAGGATACTCAAGCGGGGTAGAGACTTCATTTGTTAGGTGCATTGCGTGTAAGTCTTATTCCATATGTGATGTATACAGTTTTGTTGTCAACACAATATATGAAGTAACTACTTCATAAAAATATATTTATTAAGTCTATACTATCTTTTAAAATTATGTTATTTTTTTTAGCGCAATTTCCATTCTGGAGAATTGCGTTTATTAACCCGTCATTTCTGGATGTATGAATGTATGAGTGAATGGATGGATGTGTGTCCGCAGCTTTAAGTCGTATCTCCTCCTCAACGAAGCAATATCGATGACTAGTTCCAAAAGCAATTATGTTAAGCAAGTTACGAGGATGAACATAGGCCATAAAAATTCCGGGTTTCTTTCATGGATTTCCCGGAAAAGCCAAAAAAAACCTCGAAAAAAAGCAGTTTTTGGCCCATATCTCGGCAACCAGACCACTTAGCGACTTGAAACATGTACCAATCGATTCCTGCCATAATTTAGAACAATATTGCCAAAGAAAGTTTTCAAAAATATCCTTTCGTTCGGTCACCAAAGTTTTTTTGAATTAATTAAAATTTGGACCGAATTAGTAGGCATTTTTTCCAACCACACCACACGCGTCATCACGTTCAATAGCTGCGCCATCGCGTTCCATGGCTGCGCCATCACGTTCAGTAGGCGCGCAATGGTTTTTAGTCATGTAACTCTATTGTAAATAAAACGTAAAATACTGAAATTTTTTAAAATAAAAAACGTTTTAATAACTAACCAATGGTTTTACTAACCCTGCTCTTGATTTACGCTACGACAGAGCTATTTTTAGATAACATAAGGAAATTGCGCTAAAATTGTCACTAGACTTTTTAATTAACTTGTTTATTTAACTTGACGTATTTGCACTAGAATTTATGCTAAATGATGTTAATAGTCAAGCGTGTTTTTGAAATCTCATTCTTCTGTTAACATTAATTTTTCGTGCGTTAACGAAGAGCAATAATGTAAAATTAAATTCAATATGAGACGAGTTTTTTTTAAAATAATTACGCTGTGTTTTATTTTGTTTATGATTCAAGCCTAGGTTGATTTACCATAATTGAAAGTTGAACTCTCATACTACTATTTCAGATGCCCTACCGTCCACAACAACTACATTTCCACCTACTGCAACTAACCCACCAACTACTACAACTACACCAATGACTACCACAACCACTCGAGCTACCACCACTACCACACGTGCAACTACAACCACTACACCCACCACGACTGCAAGGCCAACTACAACAACTACACCACCAACTACAACAACTACACCAACTACCACCACCGCCAGACCTACAACTACAACACCACTAACTACCACTACTGCTCCATCTACCACCACTACCACACCAACAACTACAACAACTAAACCAACAACTACCATAACTATTACACCTAGAGTGGCAACCACCACTGCTAGAAAAACCACAACCACAAGAAAAACAACAACCACCACTAAAACAACCACCACGAAAAAATGGAGAGACACAAGAAGAGACAGACACCACGGCTTTGATAAACTGAGTAAGCTCTATACTTTTTTAAACTCTTAATTTCAATAAATTTTTGGAAAATCAGACGCAAAACAAAAATGATTCGTGCAAAACTGATTCTAAAATATTCTGATTTAGAGTTCTATTGTCGGATATTCTATAATATGCCATAATTAAATTATTTGTTTCTGTTCAGGAAAAAAGTACATGAAGCACAGCGGAGAGATGTTTTCGCATCAGTAAGTTTTCTAAGCTAAATTAGATACTCCGTATTTATTTGAAGTATTTCAATTAAACTACAAAAAACAATTAATAAATCTAAAATATAATTTCTATCTGACAAACGCGGCGTTGACATAATATTTCAGTTCGTATTTTGTCCTTAATGTACATGTTATAGAGCAACAATCTGCAGATGTTTCATGTTTTATTATTATATAAGTGTGTATTTTTTCAATCTAATTTGTATTGTAATGTTTCTTTCTTTATTAATTTTGTTTCAGCTAAATGAATCAAACGCCATCATTCAGACACGTCTTCTAGTATTTATACAGTCACCAAGTTGATCCACAGTCATTTAATTTAATTAGAATTTTAAAAAAAATGAAAAATGATGCTAAAAATATGACACTTTGTAAATAGTCCCAATAGTAATACTAACTCAAATGTGTTAATGTTTAGTTACGCTATTATGAACAAAACACCAATCTTTTAAATGTAAATATTTAGAATAATTAAAACCCATTAGCCTACCATATTGTTAAGTTGCATTGCTTTTTTTACTGTCGGCGAGGTGGTGTGGAGGGGATAGAGTGCAAGAATGCCATACCTTATGTCGTGAGTTCGGATCCAGGACCCACGTCTGTAGTACTTCCTAGCACCAGTGTGTACATAACTTACGTTAGGGAAAGCAAAGGCTGTTAGGTAGGAACTTATCATATTATACCTATATACCGAAATCGCAGAAACATAAACTTTACTTCACCCAATCAACTGCCTCTTCCTATGTAGGAACGTATCACGCTGTACCTCATAAACTGGGGTCACAGAAATTCATAAACTTTTCATCCATACAATGAACTGCCAAGTCCAAATCTTACTAACAGTGTAAAATCATCACTGAATTAATTTGTTGTATTTCTATGTTATGCTGGGCGGGTTAATTTATTTACTTGTGTTAAAGTAACTGAATCGGCTTGAAAAAATACACAACACAACCAAACTTTGAAGTTAAAACAAATCTTGGATCTAAAAGATTCAAACCCAATTTTTAAATATTGATTTGATTTTGCCAACTTCAGTCCGCTACCGCTAAATAATTGGCCAACTACAGCTATAGTCACCCAATAAGGTTGATGTTAAACAGTGCAAACAAATACATTTAAAAACAAGTTTATAACAATAAGCTTGTAAATGCACTGAAAATAAAAAAAAAATAAACTTAATTTCTTCAATAAACAAATTAATCCTTTATACAATATTTTAAATATTTTAATGACCTACGCTATAGCACCTCTTTTTTGTTAACAAAAAAATATAATAAAAAATCATTATACCTAAAACCTGTACATTTCAAATAATAATAAACAGTTAAATCAGACACAATCACAACCAGTTTAAAAAATATCTGAATAAAAAAAGAATAGAAACCTGCTGTATTGAAACAGGAGTTTAAAAACACAAAATTTTATAATTATTTAGTTCTAATATATGAGTATTAAATTCAAAATGTACCCATACGTTTGTTAAAACACAATGGTAACAATATTTACATCTCTAGTCTTAGAGAGATATTTTTTTTTCTTTTACACGAACAGGTTTTAGAGAACAGGCTTTAAGTAGTTTAAAAAGTTTAACCTTAAAAACATTCATTTTCAAGTTTAAAAGAAGTCAAGCCATCTTTGCGGGCAGTGTTAATTAAACCACGAGCTATGACAGATACATTCGTTCACAGAAAACGGCAACGGATTGACCACCCTTAACGGAAAGTAAAAGCCGAAAAACATGACAATATACCTGGACAAATCTGAGCAAAAATAATGGTGGAATAGACAGATTGGGGTAAACGGAAAACTTCTTGTCTGTTCTCAAAAACGTTATTTTAATTCACCTATGTATGTTTGATGTCTGTCTTTATTTCAGTATGTGGGTGCGTGTCATATCTTAAGACTTTTAGTGTTGGAAGTGTTCAGTGGCCTGTTTTTTCCATCATTTTTCTCCATGTTTTTCCCGTGGAGGTCAAAGGAAATGATTCGGTGAAAAAGAACTTTTCCGGAACCTTTTCTGGCGAGATGTGGGTATCGAAGTACATCTGGTTACAAAACGTCTGCAGATCCTGTTCTGTCAGGTTTGCAGATTTCTGCATGACAACACAAACACACAGTTCATGACCTTGACTGGATGTGGAATTCCTGGGGGTATTTTGATGCCTTTGTTAATACCGTGTTTAACACGTAAATATAAACGCTAAAATCATTTCTTAATTTCTTATTGACACAGTTTATTCCGAATAAATAAAAAATGAATAAATAATATATATTTTGTGAACAAGAAATTAATTCAAATTTTCGAATTGCTAGTAGAAATATTACTAGATTTGGTACATATACTACTAGAATGGTAGTAGAAATACTACTAGATTGGTAGTAAAAATACTACTAGATTGGTAGTAAAAATAATACTAGATTTAGTAGTAGATTTGCTACTAGATTGATAGTATAAATAATACTAGATTGGTAGTAGAAATACTAGATTGGTAGTAGATATACTACTACATTGGTTGTAGAAATACTACTAGATTGGTAGTAGATATACTACTACATTGGTTGTAGAAATACTACTAGATTGGTAGTAGATATACCACTAGATTGGTAGTAGATATACTACTAAATTTGGTAGTAGAAATACTAGATTTGGTATTACACATACTACTAGATGTGGTAGTGGTGATATCAACATTGGCGAACACGAATTTAACACTCCAGTTTAAGAAACGAATGTGACATATCGGAAAGGAAGAAATTAAACCATATATTAATTTTTTTCCGTTAGACATAGGGTCCAGTACTAGATTTTGGTAATGGTGATATCGACATTAGCAACCATGAATTTGACAGTCCTGTGTAAGACACATGTGACATACCTACAACGATGACCGAGGCGACCCCCGGGCACTTCATGATCCACTCCTCCAGTCACTGGGGGTGGACCACAGCAGAGCCAGACGTGATGAAATCTGAAGTCCTCCCAATGACGACCAGACCGCCAGATTCACTAGTGGAAAATCACAAATAATTTTTTGGATGGCTAAAATTAACTACTTAGTTTAAGAAGTAAACATATGTTATTTAAATACACATACACAAATATATAAATACACATATAGGCATACTTACGTAAATAATTAGTATAAACACATTCCAGTGGCGTAGCCAGGTTCGTCTCAAGGGGGGGGGGGGGGGGGAGGGGGTTCCAATTTTTACCCAGGGACAAACTTTTTATTTGCACCCCCCCCGCTCAAACTTTCGATTTGCGCCCCCCCCCCTCAGACTTTTGATTTGCACCTCCCTCATACTTTATATATATATATACGCCACTGACACATTCACATAAAATATAAATATATGCACAAATATAAATTTAAACTATATTCAGTCGTACTCACACCCACATACACACCTGCATAACCCTTCATACTGAGCATTATTTAATACTCGAACACTTAACACTGCCCGTATTTATCGAGAATTTCTTGCTCTCGTGAAATACATTTGCTACAATAAAACTATGACCTACTCGACATATCCCATATCACTGGAGTCGAACCACCCGTCTTCTGTAAAGGCTCCACTGGTGGACGAATCAACGCCCTTGTAATGACGCAAGACCGTCCCACCTGAGTCAAAGACTGGGTAGGGAGAATTTTACATACAGAATGCTTTTTGTAAAAGTGGCCTAGTTTTAAAATCCTTTAATGATATGTCAGCACAAGTTTGACTTGAAACGTGCTATTTTAAGAACGTTTTTCTTCAGCCTATTTAATATTTCAGTAAAGAAACAATAATTATATCCGATATATTTTGATCAATAAACTGTTTTTTTTTCTATTTACATCATACGCTACTCCAATGGCTACGCTGTTTTCTTTTTAAAGACATCAGCGGCTCAGGAGTTGTCTCCAATTAGCCAGGCAGGGCTCAACAAGGCAAACTTCGACTAACTGGCTGTGATTACGGTGTGATTACTATGATTACCGTGTATCCGTCACTTATGTTGGTCGACCTTGTTAAATTATTCCAAATGCAAGCATAGTGACTCATTGAAAATAGTCCTTTATAAGCATTTCTAGATATAACCTGGTGGAACGTTCAGTAAATTGGGATTTATTTATTTATCGTAAACATTGATCAAATGCATATTTTATACATTTTCTTACCTTTAAAAAGCAATTTTCCAGCGCGGTTTTTGGACGTGATTACCGTATTAGTTTTCTCGTCCACAATCTTCATTTGGACATTGCCTACCAGACGATCGCCGGTGTAGCAGTCCTTAACTGTGTCCTGGAAATACATACAAATGGTATTACTGGCTTACAAATGCTAACTCGAATCTCTTAAACGTCCCTGAGTCCACGCAGCTCTAATGTGTACCTGACTCACGTAAGGCCGCCCCCTCAACTTTTTGATTTGCACCCCCTCAAACTTTCGATTTGCCCCCCCCCCCCTCTCAGACTGCAAAAATGCAGCTAAAACGACAATTTAATTTGTTTTTACAACCCATTTTGGCGTCCCCTAATGTCGGCGCCCGGGGACATATGTCCCCCCCCCCCCTGCCCCTCATCGCTACGCCTTTGGTCCTATAACCATATTGCACTTGATATTTGAAAAGCTAAAATATTGCCTATGTACATTTTTATTATAAGACCCCATTTTATTTCTTTTCTAGATATTCTTTTGACAATAATTATCACTAGATTTGTAACAAAGAAGAAAAGAATATTCTTTAGACAGCAATTCATTGGGTAGATGAAATACAACACACTTTAACAGAATATACGAATTCATATATTTCCTCAATCAGCAACACATTGTTCCAGATACTAAGTCATACGTTTGCTCAATCGGTAACACTTTGTGCAAGCTACTAAAACGCAATCTATATATATAAATTCTCTTCTTGGAGACCGTAGAAAACACCAACCTGTAAGCGCGCTCCCTACCACTCCCACCCCTACATGGTCTGGCGAGCTGTGGTTCACGCTAAATATTTACAATCGTAGAGCCTAGTTTAGTTACGGCTATTAGGGGCAGATAATTTAGTTTGAAACGATTTTAAACTTAGGGGAGGTAACTAAGAGGAGGCTGCTTTCACGGGAGGGGGAGGTAGGGGTTGGGGAAAGGAGGGGGGGGGGGAGGTTATCGTCCTTAACGAGCTACTGATACTGTTTTCAAGCAACTTCATTCAGTGGCAGCATTGGTACTGTCGAATTCACAAATTATGAGTTACTGAAAAGTAGAAAATAAAAGACTAAATAACGGTGTATATCGTTAATTGGCACCCCGTCAAAAGAGCGCACGACAAAAGAGCGCCGACATAAGAGCGCAGACAAAAGAGCGCCGACATAAGAGCGCTCTTTTGTCTGCGCTCTTATGTCGGCGCTCTTTTGTCGTGCGCTCTTTTGACGGGTCACCTCGTTAATTATATTCAACCATGGGAATAGACACACACACGCCCATTACGTCACCTCTTTAACGGTCATGATCTCTACAGGTAGAAGTACGGCAGCATCAGCTCCTTCGTTGCAGGCGATATTCCAGATGTCTGCAACATCCATCGTGACAGAGTTATCTAAGTATTCTTGGACTATGGTTGTAGCGCCAGACCCGAGGTATAGACTTGGGAACCCACCGATCCATTCCATGATACGATTATTGAGCACAATATTCACATCTTGCTTGATCGTATCTACAATAGCTAAGCACTCGCTGTGAGATATTAAAAAAAAAAGATATATATACACACACAAACACACACGTATATATATATATATATATATATATATATATATATATATATATATATATATATATATATATATATATATATATATGTGTGTGTGTGTGTGTGTGTGTGTATTGAAAACCACCTTATAATTTCACGTTTTAAGAATGAAAATAATGAAACAAACGAATTTTTGTATATCATTCGATAGTTTTTCACTAAAATATGTCGACCAGATCTAATGATATCGGTCGAAAATTGTGTAACCAGATTTGGCCACTGACTAAATCACCTGTGACTAACTGACAACTGGTTGAGTGACAAATGGCTGACTGGTTGATCCCTGACTGACTGCCAATCGACATTATGTCCACTGAGTAATTTTCTGACTAATGGATGACTGACCCCTGTCTGACTGACCATTGACAGAGTGACCACTGACAGACTGACCACTGACAGATGACCACTGAGCACTGACAGACTGACAACTGACCACTGACTACCCACTGACTAACCACTGACTGACCACTGACTGACCACTGACTGACCACTGACAGACTCACCCCTGTCCGACTGACCAATGACTGACTGACCACTGATCACTGACCACTGACTATTGACTGACTGACTCTTAACCGCCGACAGACTTACCACTGAACACTGACTGACTGACCACTGACTGACCAAAGACTGACTGACCACTGACTGACCAAAGACTGACTGATCACTGACCACTGAACACTGGACCACTGAACACTGACTGACTTCTGACTGACTGACCACTGACTTACCAATCACTGACCACTGACTGACTGACCACTGACTGACTGATCAGTGACTGACTGACCAATGACTGACAGACTGACTGACCACTGAACACTGACTGACTTCTGACTGATCAGTGACTGACTGACCAAAGAGCACTGACTACTGACTACTGACTACTGACTACTGACTACTGACTACTGACTACTGACTACTGACTACTGACTACTAACTACTGACTACTGACTACTGACTACTGACTACTGACTACTGACTACTGACTACTGACTACTGACTACTGACTACTGACTACTGACTACTGACTACTGACTACTGACTACTGACTACTGACTACTGACTACTGACTACTGACTACTGACTACTGACTACTGACTACTGACTACTGACTACTGACTACTGACTACTGACTACTGACTACTGACTACTGACTACTGACTACTGACTACTGACTACTGACTACTGACTACTGACTACTGACTACTGACTACTGACTACTGACTACTGACTACTGACTACTGACTACTGACTACTGACTACTGACTACTGACTACTGACTACTGACTACTGACTACTGACTACTGACTACTGACTACTGACTACTGACTACTGACTACTGACTACTGACTACTGACTACTGACTACTGACTACTGACTACTGACTACTGACTACTGACTACTGACTACTGACTACTGACTACTGACTACTGACTACTGACTACTGACTACTGACTACTGACTACTGACTACTGACTACTGACTACTGACTACTGACTACTGACTACTGACTACTGACTACTGACTACTGACTACTGACTACTGACTACTGACTACTGACTACTGACTACTGACTACTGACTACTGACTACTGACTACTGACTACTGACTACTGACTACTGACTACTGACTACTGACTACTGACTACTGACTACTGACTACTGACTACTGACTACTGACTACTGACTACTGACTACTGACTACTGACTACTGACTACTGACTACTGACTACTGACTACTGACTACTGACTACTGACTACTGACTACTGACTACTGACTACTGACTACTGACTACTGACTGACTGACCACTAACCACTGATCAATAACCACTAACCATTGAACACTGACTGACTGTCTTACCACTGACCACTGACTTTACACTGAATGATCCCTTACTGACTGACCTCTGACTGACTGACATCTGGCTTATAACCTTTATTGTTATTCAAAATGAAATTCGCATCATAACTTTATTACGCGGTAAATAATTTGTCAAATGGTAGTTCCCTAAGCTGGTCAACCCTAGCCCTGCAGTTCTGCTATTCTACCTGTGTGTTCTTGGCACCATCTTTGAGTAGCCGGTGCTGCCGCAAGTCAAGAAAATGTAAGCCTCGTCATCAGCTGTGACGGAAGCGACATAGAACTCTTCATCAGCAAGACCAGAGATAAAAGATGTGTGATCTTCATGGCTGTTTAACTCATACATAATCAGCCGCTTCAAACTGGGTGCTTGTTCACACTGCACAGTGTGCACGCTTTCTGCGCTGTAAGGATACACATTACATAAGGTTAAAATATGATATGTTAAAGGAAAAAACCATTCGCTTTTTTAATGTACAGATAAACTATTTGCAAGTATTTATGGCTTGTTTTGACAAATAATTTCAGTTTTCCTGAACACCTGCTGAAGGTAAATAAAAGACAGACAATTTACAACTTGACTTGTCACGGCCCCATCTTTTATGATTTTTTTAAGTAGGAGGTGGAAGGGGGGGGGGCATTTTAAGTGTCAAACCTGTCTAGGAGATCAAAAGCGAGAGATGCGGGCTACGCTCACACGTTTTATACACCCCTTCTTGAGAGTCAGGTAAGTTGTGGGAAAAAGGGGGACATATGGTGGGCACTTATACATAATTTGTGTCATAATAACCTTACATCATAAAGGCTTATAGGGTTTACGGCAAGTGGTAGATAAAAGTGGAGGTGGATGGTTGAGCACCGAGGCTTAGCGACACTTCCTGGTGCCAGGGGTGAACTTTCAATCTTGTGACCCTTATATGTATATATATATATATATATATATATATATATATATATATATATATATATATATATATATATATATATATATATATATATATATGTGTGTGTGTGTGTGTTTGTGTGTGTGTGTGTGTGAGAGCGACAGTCCGGAACAGATTTAGTAGTAACTGTAAAAAAAAGTCAGTGAAGCGAGAACCCGATCTAAGAACTTGTTTCAGAAAGGTTGGTGGGGGGGGAGGGTTGGTTCCTTTTTCCCCATACAAAACTCGCAAGGATTTGTTCTGGATTAGCGAGTAAATAACTCGTTTAACACGTAGAAAATAAACTAATTGTAATTAAACGTATTGTATAACATTAAAAAAGACGAAATAAACCATGATGTTATTTGATGCAATTTAAAGTATCTCTTTTAAGAAGATTTGCCTTATGCTGTTAAGTCCTTTAATAATCAAGGTATCTTGATTTACTAGGCCTTTCAACCTAAAAATAGTTTACTTTTAAGTACTATAAAGATCAGCAGGTTGTTAATTACAGTGTAATTAGTTTATCATAACAAATTTTTTGACTGTATATTTTTATTTCTCATTCCGTTAGTCAACTGTTCTGAACAGACCAACGTTGATTATTTAACAGTTTAGAATTATGAATTACTAAATAAAACATATAGATAAAGCAAATATAGATATGTAGATTAAAAACGAATGGTATACCTTATAATA